AGCCTTCTGGTTAGCAGTCAAGTGCCTTAGGCACTATACTATCAGAGCTCCCATGATTAGTTCTGCTATAATGTAATCACCTCCTTTATGAAATCTGCTATGAACAACCAATCAGTTGAAAAGGATTTTCCTCAGAGATGTGGCCAATACCAATATATATGGACATTTTGTAAAAGCTCTCTGACTTTTTGGCTCAATCTGGACCCTGCATCTGGCTCATCATCAACAGACCTCCAATTCTTTGGCCTTGAGTCAGTGGCCTGCTGTCCTATCCAGATTTTTTTTTTTTTTTTTTTAATTTTGAAGCATAAAACTCCCTTTATCATAATATGATGTCAAGATGCCATCTGTGTTGTTCCACAGCAAAACAAGTCCAGCCTCAGGGACACCTGTTTAAGGCAGCAAATAGGGTTAAGACTCTGAGCTGAGCATAAGGCCCAGAATTTTTGGTAATGTGTGAATGGGAACTGGACTGCGAAGTGATATTGAGGCCTAGGCTGCTCTATTCTTCTGGCCTGGCCACAGGTCACACTCTAGGTGAGGCCCAGAGTGACCTGGAACTCTTGCACCTTGTCACCAGGCAGTGAGCCCAAGGCCAAATGGAAACTGTCAGCATGCTGTTGGCCCAGGAAGGTCAGGAGAAGTGGTAATGTGGCCTTGGTGTCTGCTGGGATTTTGCTGTCAGCCAGAACCAGGCAGCAGATGAGCATGAGCTGTGGAGCCATGTGGACAATCTGGTCAGGGCTTCTTTGGTAAAGAAAGCTTAAGAAGTGCCCAATGGTGACCCACTCATCCAAGTCCTCCTTCAGTGGCAGGGTGTGCCACAGGGCAGCCAACACCTGGGGCTCTGGTTTCCTCATGACTATCATCAGGCAGGTGAGTGCTCCAAAGATGTTGTCACAGACACTATCATGGTGCTCTCATGCTAAGAGGGGCAACAGGAGCTCCAGGAGCTGGGAGAAGTGTTCCTGGGAAGGGAGGCTCCCATGCTCTGCCAGCATGTCCAGTCCAAAGATAGTATTGATCCGGACCTCAGGGTCTGCCTCCCCACCTGTGCCCAACAGCACAGGGAGCAGCTGAAACACAAACAATGTGACTCCACAGTGCATTAGTCAGTACCCTGTCAGGTTATCGTCTCATCTTGGTTTCGTCAGTCCTTGCAGGCACTGGAGTCAAGAGAAGCTTCCAGCCTGACATTTGACTCACAGACTTTGGACTTTCCATCCCCTAAAACCACATGGGGTCTCCGGGAGCAAGCTAAGCATGGGTCGCCGGGAGCAAGGTAAGCACGGGCGGGCTTGTGCTTAGTCCCCGGGAGTGAGGTAAGCACGGGCCGGTTGTGCTTAGTAACCGGGAGGGAGGTAAGCACGGGCGGGCTTGTGCTTACTCACTGATCTGCACTGAACACTTTCCGTTGTTACCCTCCTGAGAGGGACCGGGTCTCTGGGAGCAAGGTGAGCACAGGCAGGCTTGTGCTTACTCACTGATCTGCACTGAACACTTTC